CTCTTTGAAATGGGACATCCAGTTTGCAAAGGTAAGGTGGGAGTTCCTTTAAAAGATATGAGTAAAACACAGTTAGCTCTCAAAATGAAAAAGCACTTTAGTCTTACATTAAAGACATAAAGTAGTATTTTTTCTTTAAAAAAATAAAACATTACATATATTCACATACAGCATTCTTTAGCATTTCCAAAGGCAATGTCATAACTAGTTGCTTACACCACCTACAAGAAATCGTACTATTTATTTTTATTTATTTTAAAAAGATTTTATTTTTATTGTATGTTTATGAGTGTTTTGACTGCATGTATGAAAGTACCATGTATGGCCGGGTGTGATGGCACACGCCTTTAGTCACAGCACTCCAGAGTCAGGCAGGTGGATCTATGTGAGTTCAAGGCCAGCCTGGTCTACATAGTGAGTCCCAGGACGGCTGGGGCTATAGGGGGAGACCCTGTCTCAAAAAGACCCAAAAAAAAAAAAAAAAAAAGAGTACCACGTGTGTGCAATGCCCAGGAAGTCTAGAAGAAGGTGTCAGATCACCTGGAATTGGATTTACAGATGGTTGCTAGTCATAGGTCCTGGGAACCAAACCTGGGTCCTTTACAAGAACAATTAGTGTTCTTAACACAGAGCCATCTCTCCAGCCTCTTTATTTTTTCATATGTGTTGTATGTCTGTGTATGTATGACACATTTGTGTGTGTATGCCTAAGGAATCCAGAAGAGGCTATAACATCCCCTGGAGCTGTAGTTCCAGGGATTGTGAGCTGCCAGACACGGGTTCTGAGATCTGAGCTCAGATCCTCCAGGAAAGCAGCAAGTGCTCTTAACCACTGAGTCATCTGTCCAGCCCCAGAAATCTGTACTATTTTAATGTGTAAGTGCAGACAGAGGTGAGGGTGTATGTACACACGTGCGTTTGAGTGTGTGTGTGTGTGTGTGTGTGTATACACATGTACCTACTTGAGGAGGTCAGAGGTCATTCACAAGTGTTATTCTTCAGGAGTTGTACCCCTTGTATTTTGAGACAAGGTCTATCACCAGGACCTGGGGATTGAGGATTCCTGGATAGCTGGCCAACATGTCAAAAGGTTATGCTTGTCTCCACCTCCCCATTAGCTGGGATTATGAGCACATGCTACCATGCCTGGCTTTTTTACATGTGCCGAGGATGGAACTCAGGTCCTCATTCACAACAAGCACTTTACTGAGCTAACTCCCCAGACCTACATTTGTGGGGGTTTTTTTGAGACAGAACTTTTCTCTGTAAAAACCAAAGATTTCAGTAGAAAAATATTCAGAATAAGTAACTCAGAGAAAAAATTGAAAGAAAAGTAAGGCTGGCAAAATGGCTCAGTGGGTAAAGGTGCTTGCTGCCAGGCCTGATGACTTGAGTTTGATCCCTGGAACCCACATAGTGGAAGGCAAGAACTACAGACTCTTGAAACTTGTCCTCTTACCTTGACAGGAAGGCGCATACACATACCTACACCCACAAATACATATTTGTAAAAAAAAAATTTAAATAGTTACATATAAAAATCTTTAAGCCGGGCATGGTGGCACATGCCTTTAATCCCAGCATTCGGAAGCAGAGACAGGCAGATCTCGGTGAGTTCAAGGCCAGCCTAGTCTCCATTAGTGAATCCAGGCCAGCTGCAGCTACAGGAAGACCTTGTCTCAAAAAGACAAAAAAAAAAAAAAAATCTTTAAACTTAATGATCAAAGAAGTGCTAATTAATGAGGCCCTATATTAAAAACAAAATAAAACTCCACCAAAAATGCTAATTATAAAAAAAATTTTATCTAGATTTGGGCATGGTAGCTCATGCCTTTAGACCCAGGACTCCAGAGGCAGAGGCAGGTGAACTTCTCTGAGACTGAGGCCAGTCTGGTCTACATAAGTGAACTCCAGGCTAGTTGAGACTATAGGGAATCCCTGTCTCGAAAAAAAAAAAAAAAAAAAAAAAAAAAAAAAGAAAGAAAGAAAGAAATAAACCCAATAACAACAAAACCTTAATCTAGCAAACTAGCAAATTTGGAGTATAGTTATAATAACCAATAACAAGGATAGAGTAAAATGAAATTTCTTTTTTTTTTTTTTTTCGGTCTTTTTGAGACAAGGTTTCCCTGTAGCCCCAGGTGTCCTGGAACTCACTATGTAGACCAGGCTGGCCTTGAACTCACATAGATCCGCCTGCCTCTGCCTCCCAAGTAGAATAAGATAGTGACAGGTGGATGTTGGGTCCGAGGTTCGGGGATGATTGGAGACCACCAACCAAAATTTGAAATTTAGAAGATTTTATTGAAAAGCATTCCAATTCTTGAACAACCAGTAGGGCACAGACTCCAGGAGCCAATGAATGGAGTCTGGCCTATTTTTATTATTTTTAAATTATGTGTATATGTGTATGTCTACATGGGAGAATGTACATGTGAATGCAATGCCTGTGGAGTCCAGAAGAGGGTGTTGGATCCCCTGAGCCATCTCTCCAGGCCCCCAGGTTGGCCTCAAGTCCACAGTGATCTTGCCCAGCTTCCTGAGTACTGGGTTTGTAGAAGTGAGCCACCATGCCCAGTTCAGATATTAGAACTCTTCCAATACTTTAAAAAAGCAAGCAGGAGTGCTTGAGAGATGGGTGAGCAGTTAAGAACAGATACTGCTCTTGCAAAGGACCTGAGTTCAATTCCCAGCACCAATATCAGGCAACTCACAATTGCCTGTTAACTCCAGCTCCAGAGGGATCTGATACCTCTGGCCTCCAAAGGCTCCTGCATTCATATGCACATACCCACCCAGAACACACACATATACATATAATCAAAAATAAAGATAAATTGGGGGCTGGAGAGTAGATCAGCAGTTAAGAACACTGGCTGTTCTCACAGAAGACCCATGTTCAAATCCCAGCACCCACATGGCAGCTAACAACTGTCCATAACTCCAGTCCCAGGTGATCCAACAGCCTCTTCTGTCCTCCGTGGGCATTGCATGACACAGGTGTACTTACCTACATGCAGGCAATACATGCATACACATAAAATAAAAATAATAAATAAAATAAAAATAAATAAAAATAAATCTTAAGAAAATTGTTTTAAGGGGCTGGAGAGATGGCTCTGTAGTTAAGAACACTGGCTGTTCTTACAGACCCAGGTTCAGTTCTCAGCACCCATATGGCAGCTAACAACACTCTATAATTCCAGTTTCAGGGGATCCAACACCCTCTTCTGGTGTCCATGAGCACTGAACACACATGGTGCACTTACACACATGCAGGCTTTAAAAAAAATTTTTTTTGTCTTTTTTGAGACAGGGTCTCCTTGTAGCCCCAGCTGTCCTGGAACTCACTATGTAGACCAGGCTGGCCTCAAACTCACAAAGATCCACCTGCCTCTGCTTCCCAAGTGCTGAGATTAAAGGTGTGCACCACTACGCCCGGCCTTAAAAATTATTTTTAAAAAGCAAGCAGGAATACTTGGGGCTTTACATCAGTGATACAGCACATACTTAGCACATGTATGACCCTGTGTTCAATCCCCAACACACACAAAAAAGAAAAACGAGCACACAAATAACACACGCACATACACACATACTAATTATAACATTTTATCTTTTACCCAATAATTTCCCTTTTGGGAGTATATTTACAGAAATAATTCTAAATATAGAGAACCTTTATAAATGATTCTTGTTTTGGAAACTGAACTTAGGACTTCACACATGGTAAACAACATCTCTATCACTGAGCTATATTCCTAGTACTACATAAATAACTTTAATATAAATGTATGTCTTACAAATATATAAACTTAATTAAATCCTTATAACTTTTTATATGTCTCAGTTACTTTTCTGTTGCTGTGAAAGAAACACCATGACCAAGGAAACTTGTAGAAGGAAGAGTTTATAAGGCCAGGTGTGGTGATGCACACCTTTTAATTCCAGCACTTGGGAGGCAGAGGCAGGCAGATCTTTGTGAGCCTGGTCTACATAGTGAGTTCCAGGCCAACTGGGGCTACAGGGAGACCCTACCTCAAAAAGCAAAAAAAAAAAAAGGGAAGAGTTTATTTAGCTTATGGTTCCAAGAGTCCTTCATGGTGGGCAGGCATGGCAACAGGGGTGGCTAGAGAAGAAACAGAAGCTAAGCATTCTACATCTTCAAGCAGGCACAGGAAGCAGAGTACAACTGGAGATCAGGCAAGGCTTAAGAACTCTCTAAGCTTATCCCTAGTGATGTGCTTCCTTCAGCATGGCCACACCTTCTAAGACCTCCCAAAACAGAGCCACCCACTGGGGACAAAATGTCTGAATACTTAGAGCCTATGGGGGACACTCTCATTCAAACCATCACAATATGGCTCTAACAGTAGGGAAATTTTTATCTTATAAAAGATGTTCAGTACAGTGTTATGCATGAAGGTGAAGATTTAGAACTAATCTAATATTCAATGACAGAGGACAAGTTGAAATAACTATAGATCTATTAATGTAATAACTATAGTCATTTGAAACTTTATGAAGAGTAAGCACAGACTCTGAAGAGTTAAATATCGTATGATTCCAACTATATGACATTTAGGAAGAGGTAAAACTATGCAGAGACTGAAAAGATCAGTGGTTGCTGGGGATAAGGAGACTGGGGGATAAAGAGTACAGAGAATTGCTTTGTTTTGTTTTTTAGCAGAGTTTCCTATGCTGTCTCTCTTGGGACATATGTGCGTATGTAGTCTATGGCTGACTCTGAGCTTACTGAATAGCCCAGGCTAGCCTTGAATTCTCCATTTTCCTGCCTCAGCCTCTCAAGTGTTGGGATCTATCTATCTATCTATCTATCTATCTATCTATCTATCTATCTATCTATCTATCATCTATCTAATCTATCTATCTTCTATGTTTCTTATTTTAAAATGATGTTTTACTATACCTGAAGACTAAAACTAATTCATAATTTAAACATGAATCAAATTAAGTTAATCAACTTGAATTCCAATGTAATTTTATACCGATGACCTATAATTTAATCAAAATATTTACAGAAGTAAATTTTGGGGCTGGGCATGTAGCTCAGTTGGTAGCATACATGAGACCCTGCGCCATCTTCAGCACATGCATAAACTAGGCATGGTGGCGAGCACTTGAGAAGTGGTGGTAGAATGATCAGAAGGTCAAGATTCTCCTCAGCTACATAAAAAGTTCAAGGTCAGCCTGGGCTACAATGAGACTGTCTTGAAAAAAGAAAAGATGAAGGAAGTCTCCAAAGGTGCATATTTCTTTTTTTTTTTTCCTTCTTTTCTTTCTTCCTTTTTTTTTTTTTTTTTTTTTTTTTTTTTTTTTTTTCTTTTTTTTTTTTTTTTTTTTTTTTTGTTCTTTTTTGAGACAGGGTCTCCCTGTAGCCCCAACTGTCCTGGAACTCACTATGTGGACCAGACTGGCCATGAACTCACAGAGATCCACCTGCCTCTGCCTCCCAAATGCTGGGATTAAAGGCATGCACTACCACGCCCAGCAATGCATTTCTACTGAACAAAATGCTCACCAGAATTCAGAATATTACAATCCTTTACCTTTGACATTTATTTTTCAATCATCATCGTTCTTTGTGGTTTTTAAAATATTTTTTATTTACTATTTTTATTTTATGTGTACGCATGTATTGCCTGCATGTAGGTAAGTGCACCCATGTCATGCAGTGCCCATGGAGGACAGAAGACGCTGTCAGATCCCCTGGAACTGGAGTTACGGACACTTGTTAAATGCCATGTGGGTGCTGGGATTGGATTTGAACCTGGGTCTTCTGCATGAAAAACTAATATCGAATAATAGTAAAGGGTATTCTTCATGTTTTTACTTACACAATACTTGAGATCAGAGACGTTCACGTTGACCCCAGTTGACCTCTTGAGATTTTCATCATGTGATACCACAACTTGTTCATCTTTTGTGATATGGCAGTCAAGCTCTAGCATATCAGTTCCAATGGTAACTGCACTGAAGACAGGAGAGAAAAATAAAAACACTTGGAAACCTAAGCAAACATTTAGATTACATGCAACAGATGTGATTGTTCAGATTTTAAAAATCCAAGATATCCCACAGCACTGGATACCTCAATCACATCACAAATCACAGCGTGTCAATGTGAAAATGTTGTAAACTCAGAATAAGTGACTCATACTGTCTCTTTTCCATAAGCGGCTATGGTTAATTCTGACATCAATACAATGGACAGAATACTTGACTAGAAATTCAGAGATTTGGGTGCTAGTTTCTAATACGGTATGCATTAGTTTAACCTTGTAAGTAGATTCTCCTCTTATGACCTGTATTTCCACATCTACAAAATGAAAGTATTAAGAAGCAAGACAAAGATGGCTGTTTTTATCATTCTGATTCAACATACTATTAAACCAGGTCTGGTAGTACATGCCTGTAATCCCTGCACTTGGGAGTGAGGCAGGAAGGATTACAGAGTGAAAAACAAAAAGAAACAAAGCTTCAATAATGGACCTCAAAGAAAGGGAGACCTATAAAATGACAGTAAAAAAATCTAGAATAACCAGGCATAGTGATGCATATCTATAATCCCAGAACTCAGGAGCTGGAGGCAGAAGGACCAGAAGTTCAAGGTCATCCTCTCCTACAAAGGATAAAGTTTTCAAGGCTAGCCTGAGCTACATGGGCGCCTAAAACAAAAAAAATAGAGAGCCTGGAGATGGTTCAATATTTAAGAGCAGCACTGGTTGCTCTTGCAGAGGACCTAAGTTCAGCTCCCTATACCCACATAGCAGCTCACAACTGTCCATAACTCCAGTTCCCACCATCCTCTTCTGGCCTCCATGGACACTGCATGCACATGATGCATGTACATACATGCAGGCAAAACATTCACACATATAAAATAAAAATAAAGTATTTAAAAAGAAAAGAAAAAGACCGAAAAAGGAAGGAAGGAATTTGAAAAATAATATATGAACAAAATAAGAACATTGTCAGAGAAACAACAATAAAATTGAGTAGAAAAAAACAATCACTCGCCAGTTGTGGTGGTACATGCCTTTAATCCCAGCACTCAGGAGGCAGAGCAGAAGGATCTCTGTGAGTTCAAGGCCAGCCTGGTCTACATACAGAGTTCCAAGCCAGTTGGGGCTACAGGGAGACCCTGTCTCAAAAAACAAACATCCCTGTCTAGAATTTGCAATGCTAATTATTCTTGCCTTTACTTCTTCACATCTCCTATTCACCAGTTAAGGCCTTTCTTTTCCCCCTACAGATAAAGTTATGCAGTTTGGGAGTCTTTTAGATAGACCCACTGAAGGGATGTCCTAACTGCCTCACCCTGCATCCCTGTTCAGTATGGAAGAAGCCAAGAGCGGTCTGCGTCCTGATTCCCTAGCCACAAGTTGGGTAACCTCTTCAGAGGATGGTGTGATAAGAATAGGGAGGTATGAATTGGCTAGACCCCAAAGAAAAGTAGCCAGTTTCTTGGCTAAAAGTAAAAATGTCCAACATACTCTGTTCCAAAGGTCAAAAGTGTCAAAAGTATTTGGGAGCTTTTATCTAATCCTTAAAAGATTTTAGGGTTACCTCTTCAGAGGTGGGAATGTTAGAGTAGCAAAAAGTCCCATTAAAAAAAAAAGAAGGAGGAGTACAGGTTATCAGAAAAAAGTGATGGGGAGATATGGGAGAAGTTGGAGGGGAAGGAGTGGGCGTGGATTTGATCAAATCACCTTATATACATGTATGAAATTCTCAATTATTTAAAAAAAAGAAAAAAGAAAAAGAAAAGAAATAGGTCCACCAACCAAAAGGCTAAGAATGTCATCAGACAGTATCTGAGTCCTATAGTAGAACTGCCCCCAATTTGCTATGACCTACCTACTGAATGTATCTACCAATGTATTTGAAAAGTGTCTTTATTTATGACTTTGTTATTATAAAAAATTCATGAAACTTCTTCCATGATGGAATATGGTATTAGGGTAACCCGAATCTGTGTTCCTGGGCTATAGTCATTCATCTTTGGCTCCAGAATAAACTATCTCTTAGGCAGTGCATGGTGGCACATGCCTTTAATTCCAGCACTTGGGAGGCAGAGGCAGGTGGATCTGTGTGAGTTCAAGGCCAGCCTGGTCTACATAGTGAGTTCCAGGACAGCTGAGGCTATAGGGAGACCCTGTCTCAAAAACCACCAAACCAAAAAAAAAAAAAAATAGAATTCAAAAATATCTAAGAGCAGTTAGGTAAGAAATATGTCACATGCAAAGTAGTCTTATATGACTATTCATAGACTTCTCAGAAGAAATCATGCAAGCCAGGAGTTGAGGAGGCTGGGATTCAAAGTCCTGAAGAAAAACTACCAGTCAAGAATACTCTGCCCAGAAAAGTTATCAGAAATGAAAGAGAAAAATACCAGCTCTCAAGAGGTTGAAGCAGGAGGATTACAGGTTCAAGACCAGCATGGGCTATTACAAAATGAGTTCCAGTAGAGTCTCACACAATAGCCTAAGCTGGCCTTGAACTTAAAGCGGTCCTCTTGCCTCTGCGTCCTAAGCACTGGGATTTAGGTGTTTGCTACCACACCCAGTTCAAAATTGTTCTAAAAAAGAAATAAAAGAACTAGACTAAATAATCTAGAATTCTCCTGCCTCTGCCTCCCAGGGGTTGAGATCAGAGATGTGTGACATGATGATGTCTGGCTAACAGAATCTTGAGTTTTACAGCTACTGCAGTGGTAGAGCACAGTCACTGGAGCCTAAGCTCAAATCCTGGTTCTGCCAATTATTGAAGTCACTTATCTAAGCTTCAACCTTCCTTATTTACAAAACAGTAATGACTAGCTCAGCTCTCCTCTCACCTTGTGCTCCACACTCCCAGCTGCCTCATGCTCTACTGCTACTCCTTCTTCTTTGAATGGCTTTTTCAGACAAATTCTATGCAACAAACTCATAGACATAGCTAGGGATGCAGCATGCCCAGCATGCACCTTAGGCCTTGGTTTCAATCCCCTACACCAACTACACGGGGGCATGGTGGTACATTCCTGTGATCGCTCTGGAGGCGAAGGCAGGAAGGTCAAAAGTTCAAGTAACACAGTAAGTTCAAGGCCAGCCAAGACTATAGTAAAAAAAAAAAAATAGCTAAGACTTTGATCAGAATAAATTTACACTAATAAGGATTTCCAAATGGCTAGTAAGTGTATAAACAGATGTTCGGCACCAAAACTCACCAGGGAAAAGCTAGTTTTAGTAGCTCATGCCTATAACGCCAGTACTTAAGAAGTTAGGCAAGAGTGGCTGGAGAGATGGCTCAGCAGTTAAGAGCACTGACTGCTCTTGCAGAGGACCCGGGTTTGATTCCCAGCACCCACATGGCGGCTATGAACCGTCCTTAACTCCAGTCCCAGGGGAATCCAAAGCCCTCTTCTGACCTCCTCAGCATTACACGACACAGGTGCACACACATACATGCACGCAATACACTCATACACATAAAATAAAAATAATAAATATTTTTTTAAAAA